ACGGCAGATGAGCTCCTGGCTGTAGGTGACATTCAGCAGCCCTCTGGTCACCTCCAGGATAGCCCGGGTGGGATATGGTCCCTGGAACACGACGTCCTTGTCCCCGTATGCCACAGCCCTGGCACCCAGCAGCAGTCGGTGTGCCACGTTCTGCTTGTCCCGGGGGTGGACGCTGCCCAGGAAGAGAAGGAAGATGAGGCTGATAGCCAAAAAAATCCATCCCTACACCCTCACCCAGCCCAGGCCTCACCTGCCATAGGGAGAGTGCTCATCGCCCAGATCCATGGCTACAGCCATGAAAGTACCAGGCATCCTGGCATTGGGAACAACCCCCAGGTCGGCTGTTTGGTGCCAGCGGAGCCGGGCAAAGCTGTCGTCTGCACTCCGATGGCGGTAGGTGGACAGCTGCGAGGCATGGGAGAAATGGGGGAGTGGCTCAGATCCCAAGACTGGCCACTGTGGTTCCTGCCTGGGATTTTCAGCATTTGGCAGGATGCATCCATGTGTTTACAGCATCCTCTCCCTGGGCACATCCCCAGGACAACCTGCCTCTCACCCTGCCACACCTGCACAAAGCCGAAGGGGAGAAGCGGCTCCGTCTGTCCGGCTGATCCAATGTGGAACGCCTGGCGCCAGTCGGCGATGAGTGCAGGGAAGGTGCAGTTGTACTTGTCTGTGTTCAGCAAGGTATTGTCCTCACCTGTCCCCCAAAGAGAAGGGCTGGTGAGAGCTCAGTGGGGGCTGCTCCATGCTGGGGCACAGAAATGGGGGCTCACCCTGGTACCAAGCGACACCCTTCAGGGTCATGTTGAGCAGTGGGTGGATCATGGCGTTCCAGAGCACGGAGGGTGTTTTTGGACCAGAGAGATGCTGATGTGGGCACGTGCTGAAAGACAAAGCTAGGTTTAAGGGGGGTGCAAAGCACAAGGCAGGTTTTAGGTTAAAGCAAGCACCATTCCAAAGGGAGATCTGGGGTCCCTCCCTTCTTCCTTTAGCTCCTGGCATGGGAGGGGCTTTTATCCAGAGGGGGTATAATGATGCATAGAGAGGTCTATGAGGCTCTGGGAGAGGAAGTGGGGTGAGAAGGGGTGAGGATACTCCCCAAAAGCAGTGTGGCACTGGGCAGAAGCTGTTTCCATAGCACCTTCTCTCACCTCCCCATGTCCTCCAGGAGCCCACATGCCTGCAGAACACGGTGGGAGGACCAGGCCTCGATGGGGGTCCCCCCCCAGGCCACCTCCACCAGCCCGATGGGGGACCCCAGAGCCTCATACAGGTAGCGCCCCAACAGCCAGCACACGGCCGAGAAGTAGGTGAAATTCCCATGGCCCAGGTTTTCTGCTCAAGAAACAGCAGGCTGCAAAGGAAAGCAGTGGGGAAAAAGCCATTTCCAAGCTCTCTTTTGGAGGCACATCGCACTCACCAGCTGTTGGAATAGACCAGGGTAAGTCAATCTGCTCCAGGTCCTCCAGCTCCACATCGGAGCGGGCAGGCGCCGCAGCAAAGATACGGACGTAGGGATAGCGAGCGGCGGCAGCGAGCTCCTGGCTGGCATTGGCCACCTGAAGAAGGGCCAGGAGCGTGCAAGGCACTTCCCTGCCTGATCCCTCCCTGGTCCTGCCTGATCTGTGCTGTGGGGCCTTACCTGCAGCACTGTCATTGCCATGTTGCTCTGCCCACTGCAAAGCCACACATCTCCAAAGTAGATGTCCCGCAGTGTCACGTTCTCCAAGCCCTGCTCAGCCATCAGTGCATAGGGACCACCCGCATCCATTGGGTCCAGGACAGTTGTCCAAGTCCCAGAAGGTCCTAAGGAAGAGGATGGTGCTTATCTTCCACCATCCTTATGAAGGCCTCAAGACCTTCACTAGGATGTTGGATGAGCAGCTAACAACCAGGGGGGAAGGACAGCCAACAGGGAGAAGCTTCCCCACCACAGAGACAGGTTGGGGAAATGGATTTCAGAAGTTCTCTGGCATTGAGGGACCTTTCTCCTGCAGGAATTTACGGGTTAAAAAATAAAACCTGGAAAACAAATGTGTGTCAGAGAGAAGCTGCTGGGAAGAACTGGGATTACAGGAGCAGCTTGGTGTGTGTGACACTGAGATGTCTCCAGCTAATTTTAGAGGCGCCAAATCGAAGCGTAAAGATATTCTGCTGGAGCTTAGTGTGGATTTTCTGGTTGGATCCTGCAGATCTCCTGGATCACTGCTCTCCCACAAGACACCTCCAGGCTCTTCATCTTATGGAGGTGCCCTTGGGCAGCACTTTTACCTTCCAAAGGTGATGAGTTCCCAACTCTTCAGGCAGGGCTGTAGCTGGGATTTGAGGTGCCCCTGAGCCCTTCCAGCTCCAGGAAGGCTCTGCTTGCACAGACAACATCCTTCGGGGATTAGAGATCCCACAGGATCCTCCAAGGGGGCACAGATCAAAAAAGAAGCTGAGTGTGCTCTGGAGATTCCTCAGCCCAGGTTTAGACAGGGAGAGAAGCTAAATTCCCCCTCTCCCCTCCACAGCCTCATCACTCGGCTCCAGCCTGTGTGGTGCCACCCACTCCAGCAGCAGCTCGGCTCCCGCTGGGCGCCCACGGGATTGCTGCTGGGAACCAAAGTGAGCAAAGGCTGGCACTGCTGGGGAGGGGAATGGCTGAATCCCCCCAGGTCTGCTGGAGAGCGAAAAGCACGAGCTGAACATGTCACCAGCACCTCTGCAGCCCCAGGGCAGCAGCGTGATAAACACAGGGGTGGTGCCAAACCCTGTCTCACCCCACCATCAGCTCAGATTTGGGTTCAGACAAGTTTTTTGGCCACCAAAACCATTGGCCCCAGTTTCTAGTGGAAGGCTGGGACTGACCTTTAACCTGTGCTGTTTTCTCCATGATGAGGCCACTGCCCCCCAAGAGAGTCACGGTCACCATGGCCCCCAGCTCCCCACGGCCCCACACCACAGCCCCTGACGGTTTCTTCTGCAGCACCATGTGGTCACCATAGTAGGAGGCAAAGCTGAGCATTCTCCCTGGAATCAGCAAACAGTGCAAACATCAGCTGCAAGAGAAAAATACCCTCAGCATGGCCTCTGACCCACTCTGAAATACAGACTGAGATCCCACTTAATTTACAGCTTCCTGGACAGCTTTAGGGTGGTTAAAATCACCACAGAGCTGAGGAAGAGGCAGAATTTAAAGTCCACAAGAGGGAATTCACCTCCCAAAGCACAAGGAGCATGTAACATCTTGTATCACAAGGATTTGGATACAGATTTTGGTAAAAACTCCTCCAACAACAGCATGGGAGTGTTTCTCCCAGCCCAGCCTTGCTAATTAATGTTCTGATGTATTTTTCCCTTGGAAAAAAGTTTGTCAAGGGGTGGGATGGAAAACATCGGGTGTGCGGCATTGGCAAAGGCACTTTCAGTGGGGACAGAAGCAGAAGGCTCAGCCCTGGCACCCCCAAAAGCCCCATTTTTGCCATGTGAAAAGAAAATCGTGTGTGAAAAGAAAATCGTGTTTGAAAAGGGGGTCAGGAGCAATGTTTGAGGGGTGATATAGACAGAGAACCCCAGTGACCAAATCAGTGCTCATGAAGTCTCATCTCCTCCACAGCTCATCCTAGGCTGGGGAAAGGGAAAGGGAAAGGGAAAGAGAAAGCAAAGGGAAAGGGAAGGGATCCTTGGCCCCTCAGGAGTCAGTTGCATCGCTGGTCCCACTGCCTCATGCCACGAGGCTCTGGGAGTTATATAAAAAACAAGTCGGAGGAGAAAAAAAAAACTAAAACTGAGACGCCAGGGAAGAGTGGAGGCTATAAAAAGCAGCTGGGAGGAGGGAAGAGAAGAAGAAGGGAGGAGGGAAGGGAGGAGAGCCCACGAGACACCACCAAGGATCCGCATGCGGCTCCCACCTTACGTAAAGCATCGTCCCACGGCAGCAGTGCCGGGCCAAGGGCGTTGGGGAGGAGCTGGGGCTTTGAAGGGTGTTGGAGAGAGGCTGGGGGTGTGAAGGGCATCAGAGTGGAGCTCAGAGAATGAGAAGGGCATTGAACTGGGGCTTGGGGGGATGCCACAAGTGTCAAAGTGGGACTCAGGACGCACAGAGGGCGTCAGACTGGGGCTCTGGGAGTGCACAGGGCATAGAAGCAGAGTTTGGTGCAAAGAGCGTGAAAGAGGGGTGGGGGGCATTAAAACTGGGCTAAAGGGGATGCCAAAGGCATCAAAGTGGGGCTGGGAGGGCACCAAGGGCCCCACAGTGGGGCTCAGAATAGTGCCAGCCTCATCAAAGAGGGGCTGGGGGTTCCAAGGGGGGATCAAAGTGGGGCTGGGGGTTCCAAGGGGGGATCCAAGGGGGGATGGGGGGGTTTACGGGAGATGCCAAGAGGGGCACCCGAAAAGCGGGGCTGGGGAAGCGCCAATGCACATACAAGGCTCGGAGTGTGCAAAGGGCATGAAATCAGGGCTTGGGAGGGCTTAGGGAGTTCCTTGGGCATTAGAGCCGGGCTGCTGCGATGCCAAGGTTTCTGGCAGCGCCAAGTGCCTCGAAGTGGGTCTCGGAGGCTGACCCTTCCCAGCCCATTACCTGCCGCTGCTGGAGCCACAGCCAGCAGCACCAGCAGCGTCCACGCCGCCATCCTGAGGGGACAACGGGCTACCAGGGCCCCGGGCCGACCGCAACACCGCGGTACCGCCCGGTGCCTCCCGGTACCGCCGGCCCGGCCCTCAGGCGGGCCCAGCCCTGCGCGGGGGGCGTGGCCTGTGCACGCACTGCCCGCGGGGGCNGGGCGGTTGCCAAGCGGCGGCGTCCGCAGCACGGCCTGAGGCACCGGCGTGGCCCGGTCCGGTCTGGCGGGAGAGGCCGAAGAGAAAGGCCGGGAGGGTTGCGGGGCTGCGGGGGAGAGGTATCCGAGGCACAGCGGGGGAAGGGGAGCCGGGGCGCACCGCGGGACGCGAACTGCGGCCCCCCCGCCCCCCGCCCGCTCCTCAGCCCGCCCGCTCCTCAGCCCGCCCGGGCCGGGGCGCGTGCGCGGCGGGCAGGGGGCGTGTTGCCCCCTAGCGGCGGCTCTGGCCCCCTGCAGACGTTGGTCCGCGGGTTCGAGTCCCGGCGCTGCCCGGTGGTACCGGGGACTGAGGGCCGTGGTTAATTCCGGGCTGTGCCGCTGCAGAGGGTCCGGGAGAAGCGACCATGTCCATCGCCTCCTCCAACACCAGCCTGAGGGTGCCTGCTGGTTTCCGGAACCTGCTGGAGGGGCTGGCGCGGGAAGTGCTGCGGGAGCAGCCCACCAATGTGGTGGCCTTTGCGGCTCAGCACTTCCAAAAACTGCTGGAGCAGAGAGAGGGTGAGTGGCCTTGCCCAGCACCCACACTGCCGTCCCCTGCCCCACGCTGCATTGCCTGCTCTGTCTGCCCATCACCAGGGCATCAGGCTTGTCCCCAGTGTCCCCTGCCCAGCGTGTCAGTCCTGCCCCATGTGCCCACCAAGATCAGGCCTCTCCGGTGTGCCCGTCATCCAGGGCACCAAACCCGCCCCTTGTGCCCGTTGCCCGTGGCTTTGTGCCTGTCCCAAATATCCACCACCTATGGCCATTAGACCTTCCATTTGTACCACCCCCCCGGGTGTTGTGCCTGTCTCGTGCGCCCATCACCCGTGGTACCAGCTGCCCATTGCATGTGCCATCAAGCCTCCTTCTTCCCCAGCTGGTGGCATTGACCCAGTGGCGTGGGGAGCCATGCTGGAGGATGACCGTCTCACCTGGCCCCCTTCCCAGGTAGGCTGCCCTCCACTCCAGGCCCCTCCAGAGAATGAATCCGAGGTGCCAAGACCTGCACCGGTTCACTGTTCCCACCCTGTCCCTGCCACCCTTGTGCCACATCATCTTAATTTTCTTTCCTCCTCCTAAAGGAGGCCAAGGACACAGAGGAGGAGCGGGCAGCACCAGGGGGAGCAGACAGCACGCACAGCTCTGGATCACCGTGATTCTGCCCCAAAATGCATGGAGAGGAGCTGAAGGGGAGCACGTCCCCATAACCCTCATGAACTGGGACACCTCTCCGGAGATGCAACTGCAGTACTTACCCCACATCCCCCATTTCCCACTGTCCAACCCCAAAACTAAAAAAAACCCCTCTTGATGCTCTCCTGGCTCCTGCCTTTTTCCCGTGGGCGGGTGCAGCACTCCCATCCCGTCCCTGCGGTGTTGTTTTAATGAGGAATTTTATTAACGAGGTCCCCGCCGTTATTAGCACCGATCACCTGAGATTTCTCCCCGAAAAATCCTGGGTTTGGGGCTGAGCTGAGCACGGGATGATATTTTTAGCCTCTATATTTAGGCCCCTGCATCCCTGGAGGTTGGAAGAAACTTCATAACATCCCAGCGTGAGGGAATGATGTGACATTGCACCTCTCCTACCCTCCTCCATAAGCCGAGATACCTCCATGGAATTTTGGGGTGCACGCAAGGGCCCCCCAGTCCTATTCCTACCTGTGAAATTCCTATTTTCCCACACAGAGTGGTTTCAAAATCGCCCCCCCCCAAAAAAAAAGTGGGGTTTGTGTCGAAGCCAGCGCCTCTATTTTTGGAGAGGACTGAACCCCCCCCCCATCCACACTCACCCCGTTTTTACCCCCTCTTTCCTGTTTTCCATCGCCATATGTGGTGCTCGCCCACGGCATGGGGCATGACAGCGGCTCCCCTGGGAAAAACAGGAAGGAGGGATGGGGAAAAAAAAGCTGGCGGGGACCCCGTGCCGGGGCTGATGCCAACCAGCTACGCCTTGACCCCCCCTCCAGCACCGCCTCGCCGGCTGCCGGCTCCTGCTTCGGCAGCCGGCAACACTGCCCGCCCAGGGCATCATTCCAGCATCCAATTCCCTTTTCTTGTAAGGATTTTTTCCCCTTTTTAAAAGGATTTTTTAGCACCTCGGTGCCACCATCTCAAACCACGACGGCGGGATGTTCTCAGCAGGTCTCGCCAGCTGTACTTCCCGTTCTCCCCTTCCAAAATTTGAGTTGTTTCCTTGGAAGTCGAATTTTGGAGGTGCTGGAGTACCTGAAAAAGCATCATCGAGATGAAGGGGTCCAGAGAGGAAAAATGCAGAGCCTGGAACAGGCTCAAACGCGCCATTAATGATTAGAAATGTTCTGGCATTTCGCGTCCCTCCTCCGCAGCCACAGCCTGCGGGAGACGGCGGCACTCAGCGGCTCTGCCAGGACCTGGGTGCCACGGATGGAGCAGATTTTGGGGGCTAATTGAGAGACTAATCCTAATTTTGGGGCTAACTTCTCAGATCCCTGATGGATTAATCACCCCAACAACCCTTCCTTGCTTAACTCGCCCAAAACACCTGGTCTTCATTGGAGCAGGCAGTGATGGATCTGGAGGGTCCAAAATCCAGGGAAAAGGATCTCTTACCATCAAAAATCCCAGCAGAGCTGCCAAGGCTTCTGAAAGCTGGAGCAGGGTTTTCTGGAGCAGAGCTATTCCCATCCCTCCCCCCCACCCTGGTGTGCTGGTGGGAAGAAGTGACGGTGGAAAAGCGGCTCCAGTGGGGAGAGCTGGGTGCCAGTGGCTCTCGGGAATTTGAGGGATCCTTGGGAGCATTTCCCAAGGGGGAATTTGGGTGCCTGGCTGGTGCTGGGGTAGGGGTGACCCCCATCAGCCTCCAAGTGTGGGTGAAGCAGTTGGTGGGATGTGGCTGGGATGGGGAGCAGGGTGTGTGTGGGTGTTCTGGGGAGCTGAGGTGTCAGGGCACAAGAGGTGCCACCACCTGCACCCAGCAGGAGTGGCTTTGGAGAAAGACATGGAGATGGGATAGGAATGGGCACGAGGATGGTGATACAGCAGAGGACAGGGCCAGGGATGATGGTGATGATGGGGTTGAGGACAGTGGGAGGGACAGAGATGATGGGGTTGAAACTGGGAATGGGGGCAGGGATTGGCATTATGAAGAGGATAGGGACAAGAAATGGGATGGGGATCGTGACAAGGAAGGTGATAGAGATGGGGACAGGGACAGTGATGGGGATGGAAAAGTGGTGGAGGTGATGAGGATGAGGTCAGGGATGGGGACAGGGCTGGTGGCAGTAGTGGGGACAGTGTCTGTTTCAGTGCCACAAATGGTGATGTCAGTGGGACAGGGATGCTAACGGGGATGATGATGATGATGATGGTGCTGGTGGCAAAGAGGAAGGTCAGTGCCACCAGGCCCCTAAGCAGGATGACCCCTGTGAGCAAACTTGTCCAGGGAGAGCTAGTGGTGCCCAACTGTGCAGGTGGGTCGGGGGGTGCTGGTGCCCGTCTTGGGGGGGCCATGCTGTGTTTTGGGGGCTGGCTGGAGCAGCATCGGCGCGGAGCCCACGGGCGACTTATGCAGTTGCTTAGCAACTCCCAAACCCGGATTAGAGGCGAGCGAGGCAGGCGATGGGGGGGCTGTGGGCTGCAGCCCCCCGCATTGCCCTGGGAGTCCCTCATGTTTGCCGGGGTGCCCCAGCTCACCCTGCCGGTCCCAGCACCTCGGCATGCTCCAGGGTGGCAGCAGGGTCTGCAGGGAGCACCAAGGGCTGGCAAAGTGGCTGAGACTGCAGGTCTGGTAGGAGAACACCCCAAATGGAGGGGGGGTCAGATGCTCCTATGAGTGGGGAAGAGACCCCCAGACCCCAGAAGTGGAGCCCACTCCTCTGCTTGGAGCCTGCAGCTGGGCACATCACCCCTGGGGTTCTGCGAGTGCTCAGTGGCACACTGTGTCCCACCATGCCCACCCTTCCTCACCATCCTCATCCTTGCCATCCTCATTCTCACCCTCCTTCAGGGCCAAGTCCTAAGTAGGTCAAGAAGGTTTTTCCCCCCATACAAACGAACCCAGGGGGCAAAACCTGCCTCCAGCACCACTGTAGGTCACGTACCCCCCAAAAATAAACCCATTATCCCCACTTGCTATAGCTGTGCCCCCCAAAAAACCCTCCACGCCAAAGGCAAGGCTCATCACATCTTGGCTCGCATCCTCTGCATGTGATGTTGTGTTCCACGAAACTCCAAAGCGAGCTGCCGGCTCCTTTAAGTGTTAGGAGGGAGTTGGAGGCTGCGAAATAAAATTGGAGGAGGGAAAATAAAAAAAAAAAAATTATATATATATATATATATATATATATATATATAAAAAAAAGGGAGAAAGGGAGGAAAAAAAAAAAAAATAAGGCACCCCTCCTTCCCCCCCAAAAGCCTGGTAGGGGTGTCGGGCTGATAGGCTCGCCCGGAGGAAAGCGCATTACGTAGGCAAGCGGCTCCGCTCAACTTGCCACCTGCGCCGGGAGAGCTGCCGGGGAAGCGAGATCCTGCCGGAGCCCCTCGCCCGCCGCTGGCCGCCCACCCGCCCTCCGCCATGGACTGCTGCAATGTAGGTGCCCCTTCCCCCGATCCCCCCAGCACCCGCTCCTGCTTTTCAGCCGTGATTTACTGCTCCGGGCTGGGGGCGGCCGGGGGGGTTTGGGCTGCTGGGGGGCGGGGGGTGCCATGGGTGCTGCACCCACCGAGAGCTCAAGCAACTGCTGCGGCCCCCCAAAATCCCCGCTGCTGCCCGCACAGCAGTTGGGAATCCATCCCACCGGGGCCACAGCATCCTGCACCCCGCAGCCCACTGAGTGAAACCCCCCTGTCCTCGAATCCAGCTTTTATTCAGCTTTTTTTTTTTTTTTTTTTTTCCTCACCTCACAATCGCTCTACAGGTGGGATCGGGGGGTGCATATGGATAAAGGGATTAATTGGGGTTGCGCCCCTCTCTCTCACCCGAGGGTGAAGTCCCCTCACTCCTGGCCACCAGCCGGCTTGGGGAGAAAACCGCATCCTGTTACCCTCTCTCCCTGATCCCCTGACTTTTCCTGCCCCTTTCCCCCTTTTACTTCCCTTTCCCCCCTTTTCCTTCCATTTTCCCTCTTTTTTTCCCCCCTTTCCCCACTTTTTCGCCCCGTTTTTCCCCTCCTGCTAAGACAGCAGCACAGAGAAAAGCCCCCATCTCTCCTGGGCACCTCCAGAGAGGCAAAACCCACCCTGGGTATAGGATTTATTCTGCATGGATATAGGATTTATCCTGCATGGATATAGGATTTCTCCCCTATAT